ACTAACAAACATAAACAGGTAATCATGCAGACAGAAACACAAGTAGTCCTACTGATCTACCAGACTAGCATGCATATCCATTCCATACTCAACATATCAATAATATCATGTTATCCAACCAATAGTCCAACCTTGGTGCCTTCGACCCGAAAGTATAGTGAGGAAAACTCACCTCTCACTGTCGAAACATACAGACGATTCCTGGATGTTGGCTGACAGATTCTTGAACCGCCAATGACAAGACAACACCCCATCAACAGCTGATCCCACGAATAATCTCTGACTACATATCCGCTAAAATCCACGCGCTATTAGATACCAAAATGACAACCCATCAATATCTAGCCCTTGACTCACACTATGAGTCCAAATTAGGGTAAAAGACCTTTTTACCCATCCTTAAGCTTAGCCCAAATCCAAGGCCCAAACTAGATGACTAAAGGCCTAAAATCCAAAAATAAACATCTAAGGCCCAAATATGGCCCAATTTTCCAAATTGGGCCCAATTCCTTTCGTGGGCCTTTACCCAAGAAAGTTCATCAAGTCGCAACAACCCAACCATAAAATCCAGGTGGCCCAACTCAACCAAGCCCAAAACGAAAGGCCCAAACCTGCTGAGTACGCGGGGTGTACTCAGCCTGTATGCTCAGCGTACAACATGGGATGCTTGTACGCCCAACGTACTCACCAGCCCAAAGCCAACTTCCAATTAAGCACTTAATCCATTAAGACTTGGATCCAAACTCAGATCTGACTTCCCCAAGGTGGTTAATCACATAAAGTTGCCAACTTTATGTGTATGCATGGCTAAATGGGACTCTAGAGCTTAAAAGAGCTAAATACTTGACTTAATACATGAATGGACCCAAAACCACCACAAAGTTTGCACCTTTATGCCCAAAGAACCCATGATACAACCATATCTACAATTATAAGCTTCACAAATGACTGAAACTCCCAATCATCAACCAAAAGGATCAAAATGACCAAAAATGAACCAAGAAGAAGATCTATGAAATGGAAAGGCAAGGTTGGGACTTTATACCTCCCAAGCTACCAAAAGGAGATGCAATTGTTGGATCTCAAAGCTTTCCTTCAAACAATAAGTCTTCAAGTTCCTCCTTCATCTTCTAGATCCACAAAATGAACACCAAATCCTCACCCAAGGCTCAAACACCCAACAATGGAGGCTAAGACTCGTTTTTAGGGTTTCTAGGGCTTTAGAGGCTGATAAGGAGGCCAACCTTAAGGAATAAGGATGTTTGAATAGGGTACACATGCTCAAAATTTAGGGTTTAGACACCCCTCGTATGCCCATCGTACTCCTCGTACGTCCAACGTACGAGGCCGAACCTTCGTGACCAAGTCTGCTGACTACGCTTAGCGTACGCCAAAGTACGACCCGCGTAAATGCCCTCACGTGAGTACGCCCTGCGTACTCCCCATGTACGCCCCTCGTACTAGGGTTTTTCCCCAAAACCCTAAATTCTTCCGAAGGCCATAACTTATTCATTCTAAGTCTGTTTCCGACGAACTTTATATCTACGGAAAGGTGACGAGAAGCCCTACACTTCTAGCAACCTATCAAGGCCTTGAAGTTCCCCGAACCAAACCCAAAATTCATAAAAGGGATGAGACAACAAATTACAATTATGCCCTTGGGCTCTGAAATACCGTCGAACACTCGGATCACTTAGACTTTAACACCCTCATCCAAAAAGGGCCAAATCCTTTCTTCCCCAAGCCTTATGATAACTGATGATTGGGCCGCCACCCCGAATAATGAAGCGATTCAAAACCGAGTATTACATCCTTGGTCGATTCCATTCAAACTTTGGGACAATTTTGTCTCAACTTCTAACACGTATGACTTCTTCATTTCCAACCCATTTTATATAATCTTTATATCCACGCAAATATGGGAACATACTCTACAACTCTATTAAGTCATATGTCACTGACTTATATATGGGTCTTAATCTATTAAGTCATAAAGTTGTCCCAAAACATAAAATTTCTCGTTTTACCTTTTTGGCAAAAATGCATCTTCTCATGCATTCTTTCTCTTGAACTTACTCATTTAATCTACTCTAAGTGACTTAAACTCTTACTGTCTATTTTTATGAAGTCACAACTTCATATTCATATCTCTTTCTCATAATTGATTATTTTCCCTTTTGGTCAATATTTTACTAAAAGTCAACATTCTCTAAATTTCAGGTTCTTACACTTTCTCTCTCAACGAATATATGTAATTGACATTATTGACCGTGTGTGCTCATATGCCCAATCACAAGTTGTCCTTGACACCAACCGATACTTAGATTAAGTCGTTCAAGGTTTCACTCTTTATCACATTCTTTTCCTTACCTTTGGTCCTCTTAAACATGTTCTGCGCTATTTTCGTAGTTCACTAGATCATGGTTTCCAAACCATTCCATCTTAGATTAGCAGACTAATTTGCGTAATCTCGATCTACATCCAGCTATTGTGTTTATTTGGGTGACAACATTCTTTCCTAGTCTTCTAGGAGGCAATCCATAATCACCTCGTCTAGTACTAAAGCTGAGTATCGTGATGGTGCTGAGATCTGCCGGCTAAGGAATCTTTTGTGTGAGCTTTTCTCTCCCCCATTTCCAAAGCCATGGTTGTATATTGTGATGATGTTGTTGTTGAGATCTGTCCGCTAAGAAATCTTCTGTTTGAGCTTTTGGTAACATTACGCAACATCAATAGACTAAACACACCGGTATTAACATTCACTTTGTCTTGGACAAAGTTGCTACCAGTGACATGCATGTTCTTCATGTTCCATCTTATTCCTCAACGTCTGGTACAAAGTTGACACCGAAAACACAACCATCATCATCTCCACGTTTAATTTGTATTTGTACGTAGTTAGGCCCATTGTATTTTGTTTAGTTTCAGCTCTTTGGTCCGTATGCTAAATATTTAGGCTAAGGGGAGCGGTGACACCCTTAGCGCCTTGCCACATCAGTATTTTAAATGTCACATCATTATTCTTCTTTTTAACACCTAATTTTAATATTTGGTAAGGAGTGGTAACACTCGTAACACTCATTTTTTTTATTTTCTTTTTTCTAATTTAATTTAATTACTATATTTTAATAAAAAAACATTTTTTATTTAATATTATATAAAATATATTTGTATGTGATGCCACATCATTTTTTATGTGTGAAATGTTGAGAGTGTAATTTAATTTGTAGTGATGAATAAAAATTTAAAATTTTAATTTTTTTAGGATTAAATTATGATGTTTTTAACAAAAAAAAAAAGAGGAAGGATTATTTTTTATTTTGAATTTGGTCAAATAAAGCTAGAACAATGAAGCTATACAACGTTGTACATTAGTCAAATGTAAAGTATCTTATGCATACAAAGTTGTACATTAGTCAAATGTAAAGTAATGAATGCAGTCGATGGTTAATCCACCAATCAAAACTAAGCCAACTTTCTCTCTCCTTTTCTCTCTCCTCATGTTAAGCCTGTGGCGATTCCACCATAGCGAGCCCCCCTAGCGAGAGCTAGGGGGTGGTGTGCAGCAAGCCTAGCGACCCCTTAGCGAGCTCCTTAGCACCCCCACTCCGTCTAGCCTTATATCTTGTCCTCCCTGATAAATGAAGAACTTTTTTGCCACTTGTTAATTTCTTATGCATTTGCACACATGTAATTTTGTGGTTAATTCTTAGAAATTAATTTCCACTTGTCATTTTGTGGTAATTTTTGATTTTCTTAATTAACTATCTAATTTTTAGGTTATAGAAAAGTAATTAATGTGTCATTAATTTGTTTCCCTATATTTTCAAATTTTAATATGTTTCCTTTAATATATATAATTCAAAATTGACATGTTTTTTTTAAGTTCATTCTAATTTTAGGCAAAATGGTCTATATAAAAAAAATAATCATACTTTGTTGTTTTTTATTGATATTTAATGTTTTCTTTAAAAAAATATTTAAAGTTTATATATTCATATATAATTTTTTTTAAACAACCCGTGTAGTACACGGGATTCACACTTAGTTTCTAATACACGTAAATCATCGAGAATCATTCCAATTATGATGTAAGATACTATTTATATTGAATACAATAAAATTGTTAAAGCTCCGAATATACATTTCACCGGTAGTCATGTGGACGCCCTTCAAACTAGGGGTGAGCATGGTGCGGTTTGATGCGGTTTTAAGGCCAAACCGAACCGCAAACCGCATGGTGCGGTTTTTGCATTCTTAAAACCGTTGGGTGCGGTTTTGCAATGGTTCGGTTTTTCGGTTTTTAAATGCGGTTTCGGTTTGTATCGGTGCGGTTTCGGTTTTAAACCGTGTTTAGAATTTGGTGTAGTTTTTTTTATGTTTTTTGGTGCGGTTTTTTAAAACTGTAAGAACTGAAAACCATGTGCATGTAAGCTTGTATTGTGCTGTTTTTTTTAAACCATTCTTTTTCAACTCAAAACAAAAATACATAATCAAAAACTATAAGTCGCTTAAAATACAACTTGTGACTACTCAGAAACTAATTAATAATTGAAGGTTGGTTGATTTTGACTTAATTTGTTACAAGCTTATTACGTGTAATCCATTAGTAAGTTTAGCTAACAATAGAACATTTCTTTTGCACCCCATATAGTCTTACACAAACACAAAATAAACATATAATAAATATATTATCGTTTATAAGTATTTTAAATAGCATGTATATAATATACATTGATTGATTTATTACTATGCACGCTTGCGGTGCGGTTCGGTTTTGGTGGACCGGTTTTTTGGATAGAAACCGCACCGAACCGTTGACCTTCGGTTTTTGCAAAAATTAAATCCGCACCATTGGTTTTTGTATCGGTTTTGGTTTTTCGGTTGCGGTTTATTGCGATTTTGTCGGTTTTTCTTTAGTCGGTTTGGTTTTTGCTCACCCTACTTCAAACAAAAGAGGCTTAGCAGTAACGGAAATTTTAAAAGCAAATAAAAGAAAAAAAGAAAAAAAATAAACAAGAAAGAAAGAAAGAAAGAGAGAGAAATCGGTAGGAGGGAGAGAGAACTAAGCGAAACGGGGACTCAAAATACCCAAAATTGACACAGCGGCTCTCCCTCTCCGATTAGATCGGACCCTCTGTATGCAAATTAATTAGGGTTTATGTTTATTTTTCTCAAAATCATAAACAATTTTCCCATATCCTTTGTATGATTATAAATTGTATATAAAACCCCATTTCGGATCCCTATTTGGTCACCCATTGAGGTTGTGATTGCTTGAAGGGGAGTAGTTTTGATTGAATGGCTTCGGATCAGATGTTGCCTAATTCGAGCGTTTCATCAAAGAAGCAACAGCAATTGGAAGCTGGAAAGAGACGGGTATGTTTATCATTTCCTTTTGCATCGTGTTGCTTTTTTTGTGAATGTATATTAGCAAGTTTTAAATCTGGGATGTCCAATTTTGCAATTTTCCAATCTGACTTTCTATCGACCAGGTTCTCACGGTGATACAGTAGTAATTCACAATTTCAGGTTAATTTGTAATGAATCAGTCCAAATTTGAGGTTTAGGTGTCAGAATGGTATAAAAGTTGTTTATATGTAGATATGAAATTATCATAATTGATGCCAAGTTGCCAACGAGGATGTGATTTTCTTGAAGTTAAGATATTTGATGCTAAAAGAAAAATTCAAACATGAAACATCTGGGAAGGGTGTCATTTTCTTCAGAACATATAACATGTATTACGCACTAATCTGTTAGGTGTACAGTGTACTGTGTACAGGGAACGTGACATAAAACAAAAAATGCGACTATAAAGATATGAAAAGTACAATGTATAAGAAGCTTATACCTACCATTATGAACAATTTTCTAAATAAAAAACTGTCCAGAAATATGTGTAGGAGATCATGATTCATCTTCTGGAGTAGCTATTTCACATCATTTTTCTGCCAGAGGGTCATATTTAGTTTGTTTGAAATCTGCTTGAATTGAATCAGTATGTTTTAATATGTTACAAGCATTAAAATACTCCATGCATATGGTGGTTTTGGCATTTGATCAATTCGTATATTTTTTTTTCCAATGACCAAACTACCCTTGATATGTTTTACACACTTTCTTTCTCTTTCTCTCTGACTTGAGAACACAAAAAAATATTATCACCGTTTCTTTTCCCTTTTCTTCCTTTTCTATTTTCTCTCCAAACTCAAGAACGAAGCATTAATGACTGATTTACGTACCCCTTTAATTGTTCGGTTGCAACACTGCTGCTTTATCAAACTTTTGCAATAATAAGGTCAAGCTTGGTTATGATATTTATTTGCATTTGTAGTGTCAAATCTTGATCATATTGGTCAAAGTGGACAATAACATTCAAAGAAGATCATTTCTTTACTGCATTTAATTTTTTAAAATATTAAATATGTTTTGGTTTTACAGCTTGAGGAGTTCCGTAAAAAGAAAGCAGCAGCCAAAAAAGCTGCATCCAGTAATTCTGTTAATGGAGACTTACATGAAGTAAAACCTTCAGTTGCTGATGCTACATCTGATTTAAGTTCAGAACATGTTGGAAACAATGAAAAGAAAACAAAAGACATTCATGTTACAGAATCCCATTCCATGCATCCTACAAATGAAAATCCTATAAACACTTTCAATAAACCTTCTGCAAATCCAGTCCAGACATATTCAACTGATAAAAAGCTGGATCATCCACATCCAGAAGAGGATAATAATCATAGCAGTTTGAATCATTATAGTAATACAAGGCTTGAAGACGCCCTTAGAAATCCTTATACAACAGCACAAGCTTCTGTTAATAAGTCTTCTCCTGAGATACCTTCATCTTCTAACAACTCAAATCACAATGTTCAACAAGCCAATGGCTCAACATACAGAGGTAGGTAATCAACTAATATGCTTTTTCATCTGATCTCATAAAATCATGAATTTGATCACCTTTAAACTCTCAGATTCTTTGTTTGAAGTTGTGAAATCTCTACAATATCCTCCAGTTTCTGATAGGAACCCTAGTAATGTTGTTGATCATCCAGCCACTGAAAGCAGCTCTGAATCTGTATCTACAACCTTCAGATATGATGCTGTAGCCTCAACAGGATTACCTTCAAGAAGATCACGTCCATCTTTTCTGGATTCAATTCTTCCAAATGAAGAAACAGATAAAGCAATTAATCCATTCAGTTCAAAAGTTCACCCTGTTGATGCTCCTCCTGTTACTCAAAGTTTCATAAACCCTAACCCTTCGTCTGTTGCTAATGTTGTTGTTGGTGGGGACCCCTTTATTGAAAGGAACAACAATTTTAATTCTGCAAAACAGAATGAAGATTTTGCTGCTTTGGAACAGCATATTGAAGATCTGACACAAGAAAAGTTCTCTTTGCAACGAGCTCTTGAGGCTTCTAGGGTTCTTGCAGAGTCTTTAGCCACTGAGAACTCAGCACTCACTGACAGTTATAACCAACAGGTAGTTGATATTTTTAATATAATCATTTAGAAAAAAAAGTTAATAATTGTACTTTTTTTTTGTTTCTTTTTTAGGGAGGTGTTGTGAACCAGTTAAAGTTGGATATGGAGAGATTGCAGGAAGAAATTAAGGCTCAGCTGGTTAGTATTTTATACAATAAGATGCAATTAGGAGTAATTTGGTGATTGAAATATGTTTTATTGTTTTATTTATTTATGTGATTAGGTGGAACTTGAGGCTATGAGGATAGAGTATGGAAATGCTCAGTTAGAATGTAGTGCAGCTGATGAACGTTCCAAGTTATTGGCTTCTGAGGTTATTGGATTAGAAGAGAAGGTATAAATTTAATTCACTAAATTAGAAAAAAAAAACAATGACATATCTATTTCAGATAGTATATTCATAAACATGTGTCTTTTGTAGGCACTCAGATTGAGGTCTAATGAGCTAAAACTTGAAAGACAACTAGAAAACTTGGAAGCTGAAATGTCCTCACAGAAGTATGGTTTGACCTTATTAATTTAAAGTTGTATGTGTACCTTTTCTTTCTTATGAGTTATGATGAAGGGATATAATTGTTTATATAGGATTTTGCTGCAAAAATAAAATAGTTTGAAAGTTTTTATTCATAAAACATTTTGATTCAGGAGAAGAATATCTAGCCTGGAGAAGGATCGCCAAGATCTGCAATTCACTATTGAAGCTCTACAAGAAGGTATTTACTTGAAAGGATTTTTTAATAAATTTAAGAAATTGTCAATTATTGTAAATGCAAAATTAGGGTCATTCTGTTTTGTTGTTGGTCAGAGAAAAAGGTGTTGCAATCTAAGATCCGAAAAGCTCCTGTAATTACGAATTCAGTGGATATTAAAAAGCCTCCAACCAATAGAAAGGAAGCATCAACTTCTACAGATGATCTTGGTATGTTATTACTAGTCAAACTTAACCATATTGGGTAGTTAGAAGTTACAAGTTAGAACTAATATTGTTGTTGATTGATGGAGTAGATGAGAGTGAAGAGGATAATACTACAGCTGCTACATCAAACCTATCAGTTTTAGGTACTCTTGGTGAAAATGATGCATCCTCACAAAGTAAACATTTAGGGTTTGAAGTTTCGTCTTCAAGCATACCTCCAGATCAGATCAAAATGATTCAAAATATTTCAACATTGATTTCTGAGGTACTTCCACTTTTCCACCTTTTACACAGTCACAGTCACAGTCACAGTATCTGATTTGTAAATGTTGATACAGTTAGCATTGGAAAAAGAAGAGTTGGTGCAAGCCTTATCAACCGAATCCTCACGAAGTTCTAAGTTGAAAGTAAGCTAAACATTTATTTACAATGATATCATATTTTTCCGTATACATAATAAAACTTTAATATTTTTTTATTTGTGAAGGATTTGAACAAGGAACTATCCCAGAAACTTGAAGTTCAAACACAAAGATTAGAGCTGTTGACTTCTCAGAGTATGAGTATGGTGGGTGTGGGTGATGCTAATAATAATATCCCATCAAGAAAACCCGCTCCTCGTACTGTGGTTGACCGTACTCCCTATGCTGACGAAGGTGATGAGGTCAGTATCAGTAACAGTAACAGATTATCATTAATAGTAATAGTAACAGTAAAAGTATTTTTTATTTATTTATTTTTATTTTTTGACTTTTTGACTTCGGGTAGGTTGTGGAAAGAGTTCTTGGATGGATAATGAAGCTCTTCCCTGGAGGGCCATCGAAGCGACAAACTAAGCATCTTTGAGTAAAATAATTAAATATGTTTAAAATGTGTTTTTCCCTTGATCATCATTATTATAAATCAAAGATTAGATGGTCAAAGTTGGGAGGTGCAATTTCATCTCCTTTTGTGGGAAATCCTCGCAAAAAGTGTGTGTGTGTTTGGATGTTGTTATGGATATGTGGGAATACAAAGGGAGGGATGGATATACTTGCTGCAAGTCTACAACCGAAGAAGACAATGAAATCAAAGCTTTTATTAAATTTTTTTAATTATAAAAATATATTTTTCTTTCTTTTGATATACACAGGTAATCTTGGTTGTTATGTTTATAATGTATTTTTGTGAGTGACTGAGTTGAGTTAGAATGGTTTTAAGGATGGTATTGGTCACTGCTTTCTTTGAAAATTTGTAAAGAGCCTACCTATTAAAATAATTTTGTTGGAAAGGCTGGCATATAAACTCATTTGTAATCAATCTTCTAGGTTGTGTTTGTTACATAGGGCTAGGGCTAGATCTAGATTGAATGGACTGGACAAGTTTTTTGGTGATAAGAACGTGGAGAAATTTTGCAATACTTATTCCATGATATCACTCTTAAGTTTATATGGTTAATATTAATAAACCAAGGAATATGTACTAGTACTACAAACGCTGCCAACTATTTCAAATTTTCTCGACCAAATCGTCAGGTACTTGTGAAACCCAAATCAATTACCAATGGTGGATGAGTATTCTTTCTGTTTTTACCTGTCGGGCTACATATATAGTTTATCTATGGGGTTGGCTGCTTTTCTAAAAAACCAAATTTGACCATTTTTTGCTGCATTGTGCAGCATACGTGTAACACTTTGTATCTTCCGGCTGTTTGTTTTTTAAAAGACTTCTGACTAAAAAAATATTGCGTGGTGCAACATTGGACCATCATCTTCAAACATTTTCTCACCTTACTTTAAGTTATATTATTCAACATATATTTGTTTTATTTCTTTTCAAACATGTTTATTATTTTAATAATATTATGAAAGATATTATAAACAATTCAAATATATTTCACATAATTTCAAAACCGTAAGTTTCATATAATAATTTTTTTTTGTGTTACATTGTTTATAACAAAATATTAATAAATTATAAAGCTCATCACCAAAATTACCAAATCTATTAAAGCTAACCGAAGAAATAACTACCGTCTTGGAAAATTTAACAAAATGAGCATGTTGTTTGCTAAAATATCAATTTTATTTTGTGTTATTTAGCAATTATTATGTTTAATTATTTTATATAAACTTCTTTAAATAGTGTCAATAAAGTTATTTAAATAGGTTTTATTCGATGTTGTGTAGATACATGGTGTCAGTAAAGTGACTTATATATTTTCTCTAAATACGTGACATATCTTATATGTTAAACAACAGTTTGGTCGAGGAAAACATAAAAACGTGAATATATGACTCAATTATACAATGAAATTGTTGATCAGTTGATATAAAATATGGAATGAATTACTTTAAATGAAATTGTTACTACAAGACAAAAATTGTTATTGTAAGAATATTTTGGTTGTATGAATTTTATTTCAATGTTGTAAGACTATAACTTTCGGTGTTGAAAAACTATTTTAAGTTTGTAAAGTTTGTTAATTTAAATTTCAGTTTATTGCAACAGCTTGTAGATATTAAAAAACAAACATATTTCTTATTATAGATTGCAATCGTTTAGTCCACCTCTTCTGCAGAGGGTTGCAGATGTGGTGCGCAGATTTCAAGCGTTTTCGTTTCGAAAAAACAAACAACGCCTATGTTTAAATGGGCTACATCTGATTGGTGTACACGAAAAGGTGCACAAAACCCACATAAAATGGAAACAATCAAACAGTTTTTTTTTAAAAAAATCCTGTTTAGTTGTTTTTTTAAAATCCTGTTCAGTATGTGTTGTGGTTTTATAAGACAATGGTATGTGTTTTTAGGCGCACCTTTTATGGGGCCAGGAGGGGTCTTGCCCCCCCACCCCCCTATGATTATGAATGATAAATCTTTCATTCATATGAATATATGTTCATCATGCATCATCATAAATATTATTTATAAATATTTATCGTTATGAATTATCATCATAAATTCAATAAACAATTATTACTATGTACCTACAATTTAGAAACATATTTCATAAAAAAGTTTTTAATTCTCAGTATGAAAACTTTGACATCATAACCACCATTATAAATATTATAAATAACAAACCCTACCATCCTATTAAAATCTATGATATTTAGTCGTACCATTGAAAGAAAAGCTAAATTATCATTTTAAAAATCATAATCATGAGTTTTTCAAGTTTAAATATTATTAAACAAGAATTAAAGTTTTTTCGTAAAACATTGAAACAATCTAAAAAATTTCTTTTAAATTTAAAAATAGATTCTAACATATCAATAATTAATTGTATATCTAATATTGAAGCAATACATATAATAAATAATAGAATAAATTGGAAACAAGAAAAAATAAAAAATCTAGAAGATAAAATAACAAAACTAATCTGTTAAATATGTCTCAAGAAATAGAAAATTCACCAATCATTATTAATAACGAAGAAAATGAATCTGGATACACTTTTGATGCTTTAATTAACAAAAATAACATTAATAAAGATGCTATAAAAAATCAAATTTTACGCTATCAGAAAAACATAATTTTAAAAATAACTCAATAAAAAATTTCTTTTCTAGAAAAAATATTATATATTATGGAAAAATTATAGGAGAAGAAGCAATACCTATAGAATCAACTCAAGGAAATATTATTATACCCATAATAAATAAACAACAAATTAGAAATAGATTATCTAATATTAAAAAAGTAGATAGAATAAAAATTGCTTATATTCATATATCAACTATTCAAGTAATTTTAAAAAGTACTTTTAGCGATTTAGATACACCAATAAAATTAGAAATCAGAGATGATCGTATAATTAATAATCAAGAAAGTATTATTGCAAAAGGAAAATGTAATTTAATTGAAGGAAAAATAAAATTTGATATTAATATTCAACTAGGATTAAGTCTTAAAGATAAAAATCTAAGTAATAGTATTACTGTACGATATAAATTATTAAGACAAAATTTTATGTTAAAAGGTAATCATCCGTTTACTATTACATATCAAATAAATTATGCATTAACAAATTCTCATCATAGTATTACATTTAAAACAGAAGATAGAATTTATATAGATAAGTTATTTACCCCTTTATTATCACTTGAATCACCAAATATGACTAATAACATAATATTTAATGAAACTAATTTTCAACCAATAATAACTACTCCGTTAATAAAAAGAAGTCCAATTATAGAACCTCCAATTTCAACCATAACAGGTAGATCCTCCATCTCGGAAAGTCAACCTACAACATCTACTGAAAATCAGAATGAAAAATTAGAAGATATTAAAGAAATGATTAGATCATTAAGTTTAAGAATATGACAGAATCATCTAGTAATTCTTTAAAATATTTTAAAACACTTGAAGGTTCATATCAAAATACAAAACCATGCATACCAGATAAATAAATGATTATAGAAATACCGCAAAATTTACCACAAGGAACAATATATAATATTGGTCTTAATTCTGAAGAAGATAAATCAATAGGAGATAAATTAAATATAATTAGTCAAAAATTAAATAATATTATAGAAGTAGAAAGTTTACTTGTATTAAAACAAATTCCTGAACTATTACAAAGTTTAACTCAACATAAAATATTACTTGAAAAATATTTAAAAATAAAAACTATTAAAGAAGAACCACTTAAAAAAGAACCAATTAAACAAAAATCACTCACTATTAAACCACCTTTTACATGGTAAAAATAAATAATGAGCAACAAAACCCAAATATATTGTAATTTCGATAATAAATATAAAGTTAATTTACTTAAAAAACTATGGAAAGATTTAGAAAATTCCACAAAATATTTAAAAGAAAAAGAATCTGAAGTACACGAACTAATTTCTAAAAACAAGAATTATACTGCATATCAATTAATTAAAATTGGAAGATTAAGAACTCAAATTAATCATTTTAAAATAGTAATAAAAGACATTAACAATTCAATTAATTTTCTTTCAGACGCTTTAATAATTTGTTAAAATGAATTCAAAAGTACAAATTAATTCTTCAAAAGATAACATGTTTTGGACTAATATATTAAAAAACCATTGAAAAATAAATTCTAATATCTCTAATACCATTCAACATTTAGAAAATGCTTTATCATATGAAGAAAACTATTTATTAAAATTACAATCAGTAAATGAAGAATATAATAATCAATTAAAAAAGATATCTAGATTACAAGAAGGAATTAAGAAATACAAAAAATCACAAAATCGTAATTTAAAAACAATACGCAATGTTTCAACCAGTCTAACAAACACAACTTGTTAATATGAAAACTTTGCAAGAAAAAATAAAAACACAGATATAGAAATATATAAACTGACTCTAATGAGTAAAAGAAAAACAAATATTAACCCAAACAGTACCTTTATTACAACTAAAATACAAGATAAAGAACTAGGAAGAGACATAGATATTAAAAGATTGGGAAAAATTAGAAAAACCATTAAAAATTACAATTGCTGATAAATCAATTCATAAAATTTGGTTCCTAGGAAGAGACATAGATATAGTAATTGAAAAAGCGCCATTTAAAACTCCAACTATATATCAACATGATTGAGGAATAGATTTAGTAATAGGAAATAATTTCCTTAAATTATATCAACCATTTATACAAACAAATGATCATATAAGTCTCAATCATCCGACAAAAGGTATTATAAAAATTGCAATTATCAAACATTATGATCTTATTAAAATAATCAAACAAGAAGCTGGTTTTCAGCTACATATATTACTAACGTTCGCTAAAGAAATTGCTGAAAAACAACTTGAAGAAGTATGTAGTGAAAACCCGCTAGATCATTTAAAAAATAGAAATAATCAAGAAATAATAATATTATTAAAAAAATCCTAATGATGAAATTAATATTCCAAATAAAATTCCATATAGTATAAAAGATGTTTCTGAATTTAAACAAGAATGCACTGAACTACTAGAAAAAGAAATCATTCGACCTAGCACAAGTCCCCATTCTGCACCTGCATTCTATGTAGAAAATAATAATGAAATAAAACGAAAAAAACGAAGAATGGTGATTAATTATAAAAAAATGAACGATGCTACTATAGGAGACTCATATAAATTACCATGAAAAGAATATATTTTAGAAAAAATAAAAGGAAATACACATTTTAGTACATTTGATGCAAAATCCGGATATTGGCAATTACGCTTATGTAACGACCCAATTTTTACGCCCAAAAATTTCGTTTAAAATAAATGGTTTGCAAAACATTTGTAGTAAAACATCATCCGATCATATCATCTCATAAAATATATCTTATGTCTGAAACCAAATCATAAAATAATAATAATAATGTCAGAGTACAATCCCAGAACATCTCATAGTGCGGAAAACCAATGTGT